AATGATTCCATTCCTGTGAGGGTGTGGTGAGACAAGCACTCACATATAGTCATCCCTTGGCATCCAGGGAAGGATGGTTTCCAGGACACCCCCAACCCCACCCCACAGGATACCAAAGTCTGTGGATGCTTGAGTCCCTGACAGAAAATGGCCTGTTATTTGTATATAATCTGCACACATCCTCCTGTATACTCTAAATCATCTCTGGAGTACTTATACTACTCATGCAATGTAAATGCTCTGTAAAGAGTTGTTTTATTTTTATTTGTATTATTTTTTATTGTCTTATTGTTTTTCATCTGAAATATTTGTGAGCTGATTACATCATACTAGTTGAGGGTACAATATTTTTGGAAATATTCTGGTAATGTGTACTAAGAGCCTGTTGTACAAAAATGTTTATGGCTAAAAAAAAGAAAGAGAATGTTTATGGTAGCATTACTCGTAATAGTGAAAGAGTTCACAAGTCCAATAAAAGAGTATATCATATGGCATTATGTTAGGCAGTAACTTAAAATTATTTCATAAAGAAATTTTAAAGGTAAGATATTGTTTATAACATACAGTTAAGCAGAAGTATATATCCAATTTTTAAAAAATTAGAAAAAAAATGCCAGAACATTAGCAATGTCTAGCGCTATGTATTGGGGTTAAAGGTTACTTTTGTTTTCTTACACTATGTATATTTTATCTCTTAAAATTCTGAACATGAGAAATGTTGTTTTTTAATGGAAGAAGAAAATTATTGAGCAAAAGAGAATCTCTTTACACTTAAGATTGCTGTCAGAGCCGGGCTCGGTGGCTCAGCCTGTAATCCTGCGCCTTGGGAGGCTGAGGTGAGTGGATTGCCTGAGCCCGCGGGTTCGAGACCCGCCTGGGCAACTTAGCGAGACCTCATCTCTGCAATAAATCAAAAATTAGCCGGGCGTGGTAGCGTGCTCCTGTAGTTCCGGCTACTTGTAAGGCTGAGGCGGAAGGATCGCCGGAGCCCAGCAGGTCGAGGCTGCGGTGTCCGGGAACGGCCACTGCACTCCAGTCTGGGTGACAGAGTGAGACTCCAACTCAAAAAAAAAAAAAGATTGCCGTCAGATCCAACTTTTCTGCAGTTCTTGCTTTTGGCGCAATATAAAATGCAAGTATTTTATGGGCATCAACAGCAGGAAATGTAAATTAGCCTATTTATTTCCAATCATTAATCAGAGGCCAATACAAATAAAATGAAAACTACAGACTCCCTCTTGTTCCCAGAAGATCACTCCATCACGATAGCACATCAGTTAGGACTCTTGACTGTCTGGCTCTGTAGGAAAGGGTTTTGTTGGAAATGCATTGAGGCATTCACTGAAACAGAGGCCCCAGGGCCACCTGGAGAGAGGACAGGCCAGAGAAAATGAAGGGAAAAAAAAAAAGAAAGGCTTCCCGGTATCCACTTCTACCTGGTGCCTGTCAAGCCCTTCTGGGTACCCAGAGTCTGCCACATCTACACCACAGACTTACCTGGGTCTTCTGGCCTTAATGTGGCTGATTGAGCACAGCCATCTCTGCTCCCACCAGAAATTCCATCAAAACATAGTAAAGGGGTTTTCAAAGGCAACAGCCTACAAAACAAAATGAAACAAACACAGGAGCTATACAATCTAAATATTAATAAACAGATAAGTGAAACAGGGTTTGGACGGCAAATGGACAAATATTTTAGCAGATAAAAGAAACAAACGTAAGAGGTCAGTGGGAGAATCCCAGAGCCAACTAATTCCACACAGCAAAAGTCCAGCAAAGAATGGAGGCACCACGCACCTCTGCAAGTGGGGATGCAAGAGCACCTGGAACCAGAAACTGACAGCCTGTAGGGAGTCATTACTGTGCCAGATCGCATAATCCACCAGACACAGAAGAGTGATCCCCCATATCCTACCCTAATGAGTGGATTGCTTGCTGGAGAAGTCATGTCACAGAGGTTCTGGGAATAATACCAAAAACTATTATGATTAAATCAAAGCCTACAAATAAAATAGTAAGTCTTCCTGGTCCACTACCCCTAGTCAGCTCTGAGAAATCTGGCAGCCAGACTCAGAATAATATAGAGAAACCCTCTTTGGAGAGACTGACCAGACCAAGGAAAAAACCTAAAATCACAGCAGTAAGGGGGTTTTGATGGGCATTAAGCTACTGTCACTTGGCTTCAAACATACTCTTCCACCATTTCCTTCTCAGCTGACTCCTTCTTAAAGGTGTAGAGAGAGCCTCAGGGCTGAAGAGGAAGAAGGGACCCACTCCTTTGCTTTCGAATCCTGTCATCACCACCACAGTCAAGTGTCTTCAGCCCAGCAGCAACAGCTGGCCTGGTTAGCCATAGATAGTTCCAATCTGTAGTTCTCCACTCCCAGCATCAGTCTTGTCCCACTGTCCCACAATACCAGCTCGCAGGCCAGGCCCCTCTTCAGGGGTCTAAGTTCCAGCTCCTCAGTGCTCTTCCTCGCAGATGCTACTACTGAGTAATCCGAATGTCTTCCTTGGGTTACCCCAGTGTTAGGAAGAGTTAGCTGCCTGATTCCAACACGTTCTACCACTGCAATAACTCAGTGTACCCCCTACTTTTTGTCTTTTTTGGTCTCAGTGTGTGGGTAAAAACACTTTATATAAAATTGCCTGTTTTTGTTTTTGTTTTGTTTTTTGAGTTAGAGTCTCACTCTGTCGCCCAGACTGGAGTGCAGTGGCCACTCCCGGCCACTCCCTCGACCTGCTGGGCTCCGGCGATCCTTCCGTCTCAGCCTTCCAAGTAGCCGGAATTACAGGCATGCGCTACCACGCCCGGCTGATTTTTTGATTTATTGTAGAGATGTGGTCTCGCTGCCCAGGCGGGTCTCGAACCTGCGGGCTCAGGCAATCCACTCGCCTCAGTCTCCCAAAGTCGCGGGATTACAGGCTGAGCCACCGAGCCCGGCTAAAATTGCCTCTTTTTAGATATTTAAGTTTTTTTCTTTCACCTGACTGGACCCTGAATACAAATCTTCTGGAGAATCAGTTCCACCCAAATGCACTACACTGAAACCCAGTGAAAACAACACCCTCACACTTGGAGTTTCCAAGCAGCTTAAGGTCTAAGCCAAGGATTACTCTACCATCAAGGTACAATCAGGAGACAGATGCCAAGCCCTAATTTGAACAGATAAAATTCAATGGGAGCCGGGCTCGGTGGCTCAGCCTGTAATCTCGCGCCTTTGGGAGGCTGAGGCGAGTGGATTGCCTGAGCCCGCGGGTTCGAGATCCGCCTGGGCAACTTGGCAAGCCCTCATCTCTACAATAAATCAAAAATTAGCCGGGCATGGTAGCGCGTGCCTGTAGTTCCAGCTACTTGGAAGGCTGAGGTGGAAAGATCGCTGGAGCCCAGCAGGTCGAGGCTGCGGTGGCCGGGAACGGCCACTGAACTCCAGTCTGGGTGACAGAGCGAGACTCCAACTCAAAAAAAAAAAAAATTCAATGGGAAGAGTTATTGGCTGTAACAGGGGAGAAGCTATAAAGATGCAAAGAGAATGCTAAAGAATGCCCTTGAACGGGGAGACACCCCTTATCAACAAGAGTGCCTGAACGAAGCATATTTGTATACCTAACCCTTAACTATACCCCACAATATCAAAATAAAAAATATTGATTAAAAAAAAAAAAAGAATGCCCTTGGGCTCAGGGAGAGCACCCAAAGGCAGACACACTTGGAAGGGCATTTCTACACCAAAGCTAGATTCAGACCTCATTGTAGAAGGTGTGGATGAGCCCACTGGGTGGCAGTTAACTTCACTAGGATGCGGGGGCCAAAGCCCGTGCACAGTCGTGGGCAAACAGGGTTGAAGGGGAGGTACGGAGGGAATGGGGGCATCAGGAGCCCACTCACTACATGCAAGGCCTGGGGCATGCAATGTCTACGTCAGGACCAGCTCGCAGAGGGAACACTTGGCTGTCAGCACGCGGCTGGGACGGAGCCTACCAGAAGTCCCCACGGAGTCACTGATGGGCCCTGCAGCAGGAGCAACAATCAAAAACCGCAGCTCCCAGAACCAAGAAGAGTCTTTCCTCCTCTAATGTCCCTCTAGCGCCCTCTAATGACAAAGCTTAATATTGTGCGGACTGCAATGCGGAACTGCTTAGCTGCATCATAAATAAATTAGTAACACCACAATCATCATGTGACAAAAGCCTTTGACATAAAAGACGGGGATTGAAAACATAAGAATTCATAAATGTAGGAGAAATAGAGACAATGCAAATAACCAAATAATAAAATCCACTGCTGCAATTAATATTTTCATAGAAATAAGATGTCTCCATGAAAATAGAATGTCAATAAATATGAATATTTAGAGAACTGAAGAGAAACGTTTTTAATTAAAAATATAATTTCCAAATAAAAAAGTTCCATAGAAATGCTAGAATTCATTTTTTATTTTTTAAATTTTATTTTATTTTTCATTTTTTGTATTTTATTTTATTTTTTGAGTTGGAGTCTCACTCTGTCACCCAGACTGGAGTGCAGTGGCCGCTCCTGGCCACCGCAGCCTCGACCTGCTGGGCTCCGGCGATCCTTCCGCCTCAGCCTTCCAAGTAGCTGGAACTACAGGCGCGCACTAGCACGCCCGGCTCGTTTTTGATTTATTGTAGAGATGAGGTCTCGCCAAGTTGCCCGGCAGGTCTCGAACCCTCGGGTTCAGGCAATCCACTCGCCTCAACCTCCCAAAGGCGCGGGATTACAGGCTGAGCCACCGCCGGCCTAGTATTATTATTCACAACATGCTTTTACATGCGTGGGCTCCAGGAACCCTTGCAATTGTCCTATGAACACCACTCTCAGCCCCACTTGCCAGTGAGGAATGGGAAGCCCAGAGGCCTGAACTGCCCCAGGGGACACAGTGGGCTGTGGACAAGAGCCCACTGCCACCCTCCGACCACGGGTGCGGCCTTCTGCTCACAGACCCTCAATGGTACCTTCCCCCATCATTTCTTCCCAGCACATCCCCACCTTCAAATCCGCGGAGGTGCACCCCCCCCAGGTCTGGGGACCCACCCTTCTCATCAGACAGATTCGGTTCAACGCCACAAAAATTAGTCTTACCAAATGCTGGGCCCTGCGCAGCAGTGCCCTCCTGCCCTCACAGATCTGCCGAGAGGACTGAATGAGGGTGCCTGGGGTCTTCACTTCACTCACAGAATTATTTCTGGGGGGAGGGGGTCCCAAATGTTCACAAATCTTTTTGTGAAAATCAGCTATTAACCTTTTAAAATGGGAGGTTCAGCCGGGCTCAGTGGCTCAGCCTGTAATCCCAGCGCTTTGGGAGGCCGAGGTGAGTGG